TTTAGTGGCGGGCCACACTCGCCACGTCACAGCGCTGTCCGCAGATATATGTGGTGTTTTTTACGGAGAACCCTTGCCAGGGGTAAACCCACCTCCTCGAGCGCTGCCGCTGGTCGTCCGCTTTGGAAGGCCGAGGCCCACCTTATTCACGGTTAACCGTGAGATGACGGCCGTTCCCCTATCCGCGACTTGGGGACGCGCTCGGTAGCATACAGCTCTGCTCTCCGAGAATGCAGAGATATAGAGAGTAATAAGCATTACACTGAGTGTTTTGGGCCATTTTTTCATGAATGAGCAGCGGAAATGACACCAAATTTTTCTTCTTGGGTTGGATATACTCCGCGGCCTTAAGAACGCAGAACTGCTGTTGAACGAATTGATTTCCATCGATTAATTCATGTTTTGTCGTGAATAGCGACGCGCGAATTGTCTTTGTTACATAAAAATTCACGGAAGACTACATCACATTCTTTTTAATATCACGTTTTCGTTGTGGTGCATCTTTCGTTCTTTCCCTCCTTATCTTTCAACATCTATTCTCTAATATCCTGTTTGTTTGATTTTCCAGGGGCGGGACATGACACTCTGGTGGGTGAGTTGGAGATCCGGTGTTCCCAGACCATTTCCAAGGAACCCACCATGTGGCGTCATTCGAAACATCGAGGCCAGTATCCGGTTCGAATTGATGCCTCATTCAGTCGTTTCAGCGGTACAGAACTGCGTTCACCCATTAAAGTTCTTTCAACTGGACGTCCTATTCGTCCTGTCGGTTCCTTTCAACCGTTACTGTACATCTATGCCATATCCAATGTGAGCAATTCGAAGGCTTTTTTATTGCTTTTTCTCCCTATTCATTTGTCACCCCCGGGCAAGAGACAATGCTTCATTTCGACACCTATCGGTGGTCAGTGCGTAAATCTAGTGATTTGACCAGGTGTTCCGAATAGAGGGGTACTTCTACCTTTGAATAGGGACTAGGAGTTAGGCAATGTAATAAACAGACCATTACAAGCTGACCAAGAAAAACATGGTCTCAGAAAGGTATGTTGCGTTTTCAAACCCATGAGGTCTTTGAAATTGCATAAAAGCCAACTGACAGCCTTACAAATAAGAGTGTTTTTCATTGCAAATCACTGCAAAAGGCTCAGCAGATCGTGTAAATTACGTAATATTGGGGATTGTCAGCATATTTGACTCTTACACTTGGGATAGAGAATCATATTAATCGTGCTGAAAAATTCAGGATCACCTTTGGTCATCACGTAGGTGGTGGTGCTGCAGTGGTTTATTCACTGTCACCGGCTTGCTTTGAACCCCATGGTCCGAGGTTTGAACCCCGCCACCGCAGCTTTGCTGCCTTCCGGTTTAATAGTGGGGGCCTTATGTGATTCGCCACTTTAGGGTGCCGGTTTCCAACACTGAATAGCAGATCTACACGACTGGGGTTCATCCTTTGTGCTGTTCTCCACACAAAATGTGTGAAATAAAAAAATAATACTTTTGACCTCATACTCTTGTCGGCTTTGTACTCAACGGAAACCGGAAAACTAGCAGACATTCCCCATGTTGTCTTCCACTAACTATGAAAAGGCCTGCAAACTAAGTTTGTCACAGATGATCACCGCTTTTGAGTCACCTCTCTTTAAGGAACTCTTCAATCTGGCTGAAAACCCTGCTGTTTTTCGCTCTCATTCTGTTTTACTTTTTTGCCTGAATTAATTACAGAGTAAGACTTTCATAGCTGATAAGTTCCAAGTGCATGCTCCGCGAGAGTACTGTACGGAATTTTGAGGCTCTCGACAACCCACGCTGTATTACGTTCGCTTGCCAGCGAATTTAGTCATCCCTCCAAATCAAAGTTCACCGGCTTTGTGGTTCAAGAATGAATGAGTATGAGCTGGGAAGATTACCATCATACGACCGGTAGTGAAACCTATCCCTACGGTCATGTCAACCCTTAGATTACTGTTGAAGTTTATCGGTTACTTACGCAGGGCTCTCGGTATCTCAGATTGCAGAAAACGAAACTGAATGATGATGCAACCAGTTTTCGTACTCTATGTGATCAATTTTGGGACGTGTTTTCGAATTGTGATGCCCACTTTTTGGCGGATAAAACTTAGCGTTGTTGTGTGTTGCGGGTCGATAGTGTAAGGAAACTGATAACGAAAAGATACAACGCGAAATCTGTTACTTAACAGTGGGAAAGTTACTCAGATGGCTAAAGAAGTGTCCATGAAGGTTGTGATCGCCAACCCCACGCACACATTGGCTTTCCGGTTATTGGTCGTGAGGCGTGTCACGATCGTAGGCAGCAGTCTTGAATCACTTCAGTGATACGAGTGACTACTCAAAGAAACGGGCGTAGGGGTTTTCTTCTGGGTATTTACAATTGCATTAGTTAACGCTACTGTCGAGACAACGCGGAGAAAACTCTCGGTGTTCAAGTGCGGTGAGACGAAAAGTGTGAAACAGCAAAACGTGATGTACAAACAATAATATGGAAAAATAAGTGAATTGTACGTGTGTCACGGTTGGAGTGGCTGTTTCCAATATTCTTCCTCACCTCATACACCCATATAACTACTAAATGTTTAACTATTTCGCTTTCACAGAATCACACAGAGTACACAACAGGCGGGGGCCGGAACAAGGTGGCCAGTTGGCTTGGACATTTGCAAGCAGGCAATATCAGCGATTGGGTTATACTGATGATAGATGCCGATTCCCCTACCAGTGGACCAAAGATGTGGCAACGTTCGACGGTGATACATCGAATAAAAAAGGATTTTAACATCAATCCTGACGGTTTGTAAGTAAATTTCTCTGTTCTTACTTACTTTGCCACCCTTGCCCAATTGATGTTTCCTAGATTTAAGAAAAATTCTCGTTGATCGTTTATTATTTAGGATTATCGAATGAAAAAGGTGATAGTCTTATCTGTAAAAGGGTTTTTGCAGTGATCGCATTATTATTATCAACGTTTTTTACACCACAAAAAGGGTAAACCCTCTGGTCAAAAACACTGTAAGAAAGAAGGTATAGGAGGGAAAAGTTCAGCTGAGAATCAATTTGTTGATCCTGCTTTTGAACACTGAAAAGGTGGTGAGACATTCGGAAGTGGTAAGAGTGCTACACAGTTTCACGGTATTAGAGAAAAACGGTCTGGAAGATAGAAATCCGGCATAACTGCTCGCCTGAGAACGGGATGGACAAGAAAAGAACAACGGTCGAGGACCGTTGAAGCGAGTACAGAAGGACAAAAACCAAAATGATAACAACAAGAAGGAGATACCGAAGTAAATACCGTCCAATGAGCATGCTGCTGCGGATTTGCGGTTAAAGACAGTTCGTTTTTCAAATAGATGGCCTTACGTTGAACTTAGTTAGGAACAGGAAGATCAGAATACGAAGCTTCATCCCTTACGTGACTGCATTGTTCAATTGTCGGACGGATTTGCATTGTGTAAGCAAGCGCATTACGCGGAATAGGAAACCGATTATGCACACAGCGTTAAGGTGGGTTTGGAGATAAAAGCGGATCAGAAGCGAAAAGAGTTTATGGTCTAACCCAGGAGAACAATTTTGTGGAACTAAGAGGAATTGAGTTAATAAGCAGTTGGAGCGAATAGCGGACATGTTTAAGAGTGACAGAAAGGAGGGAAGTTATGGCGGCATTGAAACAGCTGGTAGAACCCCATGTGAAATTAAGTCCGAGGTCGGAGGCAAGAGAAGCAGTAATGACATTGCGATCAAAATGGATATTATTACAGGTTTGGTGGGTAGTGGGATAGGAAGGGGAACAATGGAGAGTAGCATAATCGGCAAAGCATTGAATAAGATTAGAGGTTTTGGGTAAAAGATTATTGACAAATAGAAGAAAAAGGGTGGCCGAAAGTATGGAGCCTTGGGAGACACCAGCATTCACAAGCAATGCCCGACACACAACCCCGTCATCTCATACATAGATGGTTAGCTTACTGAGGAAACATTCCCACCGCAACGCCAGGGATGAATGGGATCCGAACGTGGGTAACTTTGACAGCAGACATTCATGCCAAACACGATAGAATGCTCTGAAATTTTAAGCGAGGCCATGTGACTTTCTCCTTGCTTATCGAGCGCAGTTGACTAGGGATGCTATATTCGAGCCAATAGGGCACCCATAGATCGACGATGGTGAAATCCATATCAACGGTCATTCAGTAAAACATTGCGTTGGAGAAACGTATGCAGTTGGTCGGAGATAATTGTTTCAATAGTTGAAGAAACCACGGAAGCAAGAGTTAGGATCGGGAAGATCACCATTCTTTTGTATAGGAAAAATAATGGCATATTTCCATAGATTAGGGGAAAGATTGGAGAACAAGTGGAGAATAGAAATAGAAGCTGCCTCTGCGGTACACCGTTTTAGGATGAGGGGCCGAATATCGTCCGGACAGGGTGGTTTAGGAAAATCCAAACCACGAAGAGTATGGTGTCCCTTTCCGGTTGTTATGACAGATAGAATGAACTAGTTGGTGGTATGGTAAGGGGGATAAAGAGGAGAGTCGATAGATAAGGTGGAGTTGGAGGCAAACCAGGAAGCGAAGACCTCCGCTTTTTCGTGGGGTTCACCTCCAAGAGAACCGGTGGAACTGCTTGCTAGTGGGAGGAAAGTTGAAAGGGCAGAAATTAGGTGAAATCGCTTTAGTAAAATTACCAGTGACTGTCGAAGCCAAGCACGCAGCTTTGTGGCAGATGAAGCGTTTCTTAACTCTGTATGGTGATCGAGCATTTGTTTCTCGTTTGCACGAAGTGGTTACGGGTGTTGGGTTGGACTAGCGGTCTCAACGACGAAATACTGAGTTTTTAAACCTCAGCACAGTTACAAGCATGATTAAACCACCCAGGGGATCGTGGTTTGCCGGGTTTGGAAACGTGCAGAATATGAAGATACATGCCTTGAAGAATAATCTCATCAGACTTAAAATAACTGTCAGCGAAGTCTGAAAGTGGCAAAGACGTCTGATTTTTTCCCCGGTACTTCTCATCAGGTAAATACAGTACACAATCGAACATGTAGACACAACATAGCGTGATAATCCGTAGTGTAAGTACTCATACAGTTATTGCGATGATGTTGGGGACTGTGTCCAGATGAACCAGTCAAGAGTGTGTCAAACTGGTGTCTGTTCCAAAATCTTACTGGCCTTAGGCTAGGGCAGCAGTGGTGTCTTGACAAATTGCTTTTGCGTACACAGTATTGGTTGTTTCGGCTGTGCACGGAGTTCTGTCTCACTCCTTTTGATCGATTATATCTTTTCTTTTTCTTTCATTTTACTTCCTTTTATTGAATTTACAAAGATAAATTGTGAATGTTATAATGTTAATAACACAGCGATGTCGGTAGAGAATTATATTCGCCGACGTTTCGGTTACCGTGGGTAACCTTTCCGATTGTAAAACCTGCCTTGAGAAAGGTTACCCACGGTAGCCGAATTGTCAGCGAATATAATTCTCTACCGACATCGCTGTGTTATCAACATCATAAAATTCACAATAAAACAATACATGGCGCATCGATTTTTCGATACACCTTAAATCATTTGGTCCTGATGTGATACAAAGATACAATTTCCAGGAAGGGAAAAGCGACCAATCAAAGGATGCTATTCAACACACAACGGGGAAAGTCAGGCGGTCGTGGTGGGATTCGAACACATCCGCGGGGTGGTAATTTGGTGACTTTGCCACCGGGCTACCTCCGCCCGGTAGGTGACCTTGAATGCTCCTTTTCGTGTCAGTTCATGACCCGTGTCGAGTTCGTGGGCTAGGATGGCACTAGTCGCATTTTTGTATTGATCCTTTTTGATAGTCAAGCTGTTGCGTATACTGCGCCAGTGTGCAGTCAGTTCTGCTTTACGGTTGCGAGACACTTAATTTCCATGTGGAGGATATTTTTATTCTTGAATCCTCTCTGACAGTCACCTAGTGGTCCTTCCTACGTATTCCACTCCACAGGAGCACGAATAAGAGTACACACAAAATGAGGTAAACTGACTAGGTAGCTTGTCTTTGAGTTGTAACTGCAGCATAGGCTTCACTGAACTCTTCTTGAAAGCACAACTATGACCATTCGCCTGCTGTCCCGAATTACCCAATTATGTGATCCTGTATTGTAAAGTCGTTCCAATGATAATTCTTCACCAAAGCGCTCTTAACAAACGTTCAGGTTTCGTAACTCCATTTGGGTAAATACATCACAAATCACGGCAGCGTAGTCAAGGAAATAACCGCTCGCATTTCCAAGCCACGAGCAGCTTACGCAGGACTGAAACACCTTTGGTGCAGATGTGATGCTTCTTTAAATTTGAAAGGTTGCGTATACTGCGCCAGTGTGCGGTCAGTTCTGCTTTACGGTTGCAAGACACTTAATTTCCGTATGGAGGATATTTTTATTGTCTAGAAGTCTTCGATTGCCGATTTTACGTAGTTTGGCGCCGGTTGGATGGAGCAAGCCTGCAAACAACTCTGAGGTAAGCCGTCGCGGATTTGGTAATGGCTCGATGGAAAATTCGTTATCATATAGAATTCAGATTAGTAGGCTCCTCTGGTTTGGGCACGTATTGCGCATAACCAGCTGTCGTCTACTGCGCTGCGCTTTATTGACTGTAGCCGTTCCAGATTAGAGGAAAGCACGTGGAGGACGGGGAGACGAGGGATGAAGAAATGCCCAGAGCTGTTAGGTAGATTAGGTATCTTCCGTCTTCCAGGTTGGGGTCCGAAATGCTCTGCAACTGGTTAGTTGGAGATCTTGATATGGCAGTGAGCCGACCGCAGCGGCGTTCTTGTTGTCTTTTCTTATCAGGTTAGAATGCTTGAAAAGTTATGTATGCACAGTCAGGTTGTGCAATCTGTGTTGACCATAGAGGTTCACTTTCCTCCTCCTTCCACCCGCTCAAAGTAGATCCAACCCCAATCCACCTTAGATCATACCGCTAACTTTGTATACATTGCGAGTTTAGCAGTGATCTGTGAAGTTCGCTTCATTGTATTCCACTGTACGACGACGATGATGACGATTTATAGTAGGCATTACCTGTTCTGTAAGATCATATCCTCTCATTCAGATAAGACTGTGCATCTGTGAGGACCAAGGTGTGAGTGACATCCGGTCATATAACTGGAATGGTAGTTATTTCTTTCCAACTTGTCTTACTCTCCCCCCTGCCGAAATGTTTGATATAAATTGCGATGTATTAGCCTGTAGAAGAATCACCGCAAACGAGCTTGCTCGCTACTTTGTGTTTTCTCACATTTGATCCCTGCAGTAACGCTATTTGAGTTTTTCGTTTATTGTTAGTCTTGTGTTTTGGTAGATTTGGCGGTTTTTCAAATATAGTAACCGTAACCAGAAAGTCCACGAGCACCACCACCACCAACAGGAACAACAATAGCAATAACAACAACGACAGCAACGATAACAATAAAGATCGTAATCATGGTATCCGAATGCAGCATCAATCGCTGTAATTTCTTTCTCCATTGCGGTTGGTTCTCTATAGGCTGTCCCAATACATTTCTGTTTGTCTGTAGCCACTTCCTCCAGTTGCCTGATCCGCGAGCGGTAGAGGAGAAGGTGTTTCAGGACGCATGGACCACAATGATGCGTGCTCTACGCAAAGTAATCTTAGAGGTTTACCATGTGACCATCATGGACTATGACATGCATCTGCATTTGCTTGAGGAGGCCAGATTTACGCCCGGTTGGGATTTCTTTGAATACTTGGATCGCAAGGTATGTATTTATCCTGTAGATCTGATCTTTAAGCTTACATCTGTATGCATGTTGTATGCAATGCTGTCGTACTATCAATTCTTTATTTTAGTTAGACCTCATTTGATTCTCTTTTTGATTTCTTTCAAGTTGCCTTTACATCATTCGACTCCCCATCCATTCAACTTCTCGCTTTGAACAATACTGTTATGGTTTTCGATAACTATCAAGCATCTAAACTGAGACGTAGAACGATCATCTGGAGGTAGGCAGCTCTGCTGTCGTCCGGTTCAATACTACGCCTAACATATTGGGGGCCTTATGTGGTTCGCCACTCCAAGTCCCGGGGCTTAGATTAGGTTTCCATCACTGAACGTGAAACATTACTATTAATTTAGTGTTACTGTCTGTTCAAACATTTTTTAATACACATTGTGAATCACAGTTAGAGGGGAAATCCCATGACCTGTGAGCTTACTGTAAAAGGCAGAGTACGGGGACATTCACGTAAGATTCAGCTTATTAATTCTGCGTTTAAAGAGTATTAAGTTGTAAGTTAAGAGAAAGACTAATAATTGGAGTGTTTCGCAGCTTGGCTGTTCGGGGAAGAAAGAGATTGGTGTGGAGCAGTAGGAAATGGGATAAAAGAAATCTGATAAAGATTACCAGATGCCTATGTATGGGATCGGCGGCTAAGGTTACCGAGATCAGCTCCGAGGAACAAAAAAAAACAAGTTAGTAAAGTAATGGAAGAAACAGGGAAACCACTCCTCTACGATGGGCTGGTGACTGCAGATAGGAGGTTAGAGAAATATCATCGATCAGCCGGATGTTCTGTCGGTGAAGAAGATCAAGGAGGGAATGAGAAGAAGACGAAACCCACCCTACATGTGACTGCAGTATTCGAGAACAGGGCGGATTTGATCTTGGTGCAGTAGAAGGTGAGCTGGATTGAGGAAGCAAGCTAGGATATCAAAAAGTATCAGCCTAACAAAGAAGTCATAGGTGAGTCCAGTGAAGAACCAGAGCCTGTGGAACGCAGTTGGGTCTAATCAAGAGATCGGGCAAGGTAGGGCACCACAGAAGACCGATAAGCAGTCGTACGAGCAAATATGCAATCATAGCGGGCCCGGGTGGAAGAGGAGGATACACACTTGATAAGATCTTGATGTAACGGATGTGAAGGGTTATCTATGATTTTTGTTGATAACGAGAAGCGTGACTTTGTATGTTGGGAAACGATGAAGTGACAGATAGTTTCACGGGAAATCCCGCTGCTTCTTGATAAATGTGTTAATGATCTGGAAAGCAATTTAAAGTCCTCTTTGAGCACCCCTAGAAAGATTGCTGGGGACCCGTACAACCGTAGGGGTAATGTAGGCACTAGGTTATCGGTACCCCGGGCTTATACGTATAAGTCGCAAACGTACGTTCGTACGAGGAGAGAACGAGGCGATTCACGAAACGGAGGACGACGTGTATTATAAAGACCTGCAGAGCAAGAGAGAGATACAGAGGCGTGAGCAAGCGTGCGGAAAGTGACAGGAAACGCGTGCTGACCAAAGAGGTGGCCTTGGCGTGGTAAAACAATAAGGTGTACAAGAGGAAAGGTACACGCAGAATGGGAATTCGTTGATCACTACAGTAAAACACAGGCAAAAAGAAAACGTTTGATCAAGAAGCGAGGGACGAATAGTGTTTTCAGTCGTAAGACATATAATGATAGTTTCCTGACCTTTCCAAATACAGAAACAACTCGGTCAGACCAGCATACGTTTCGGTTAATTAACACACCAAGATACTTGACATTTGGGGGTTGGACAACAGTATCATCGTATATGTTTAACTTGGGACAGGATTCCAGGAGATTGGCATAACGATTCCCTTTGTGAAGTGAGAACAGCATGTCTACACATTTAGAGGGATTGAGATTCAGGTTATGCTCAGCAGACCACTCAGCAAGGAGGCACATATGTGACCAGTGGAATGAGCAAATATTTGCTTCACGTTCTTGCACCAATTGTTGTTGATATAAGTCACCAGGCCTCCTCCTCCACGTTTCTGATACGTTGCCGGACGGTCGACACGGTGTCCAATGAAGCCGTCGATTTTAGTAATCCGTTCATCAATTTCGCCATGTAACCAGGTTTCTTGTAAAAGAATTGCTCCTAAGTTAGAATATTCCATACGGCGCACAAGATCATATATATCTTGTAATTTTCCAAGCAACGAACAGACGTTGTTGCTGATAATGATGGGTATGCATAGTTGTGACAAAGCTCTTTAACGCAGTGCTACTCTCCAACCACCTTGATGCTTCCTCTAATGTCCGCGAGATTTTCTGTGAATCGTTTTGTATTTATTTCTCACACTCGACGACTTACTTCTAGGTCACTACTCCGCTCACTCCGTCCCACTTGGGCCAGACTGCGTAGGCACCGATTGTCGAACACTGCTAAACGACGGATGTCTTCTACCCGCAAGTTCAAGGTCTCAACCGTACGGCAGAATTGATCGTATAGTGGCACAGTATACACGACTTTTCAACTTCAGTGAAACGTCACGTCGTCGCCACAGGTGTTTCAGTCCCGTGTACGCTGCTCGAGCCTTGGAGATGCGGGCGGTTATCTCCTTTGATGCGCTACCGTCGTTTGTCACGCAGCTACCTAAGTACGAGAAGCAGTCCACTTCAGCTAATTCCTGATCGTTTAGTTTCAGAGCAGAAATCGGCGACAATCAGTCTTGTAGCATCATTTTGTACTTTGAAGATGCAAAGCACATGTCGAACGGAGCGACAGAACTTGTTAATCTGTGAAGTGCCCTTTGCACATCTTCCATACATTCGAACAGGCAAACGATGTCGTCAGCGTACTCCAAGTCGCACAGCTTTTCTCCAACTACCCATTCAATACTTACATTTTGGAAACCACTTAGTGTGTTCTCCAGTATTTTGTGTGACGAAATTGAACAGGAATGGCGAAGGAGGGCACCCTTGACGAACACCGCTGCTAGTTACGGACGACCTACTCAGCTCGCCGTAGACCCTTACGCTACCAGAAGTATGTGAGTAGAGTGACCTCAGTATGTTTATATACTTTTTCGGCATTCCTTTGCGAAGAAGTGAACCCATAAAGGATTCGCGGTCAGCTGAGTCGAAGGCTCCTTTTAGGTCAAGGAACATAACAGACATTGTCCGACGGTGCGTATGGCGTAGCTCGAGGACTTGACACAGAATGAACATTTGGTCAACACACCCGCGGCCTGGTCGAAATCCTGCTTGTTGTTCGCGTATGTTTGTCTCCCTAAACGGTGTCAGACGTCGAAGTATGATGGGAGCTAATAATTTGGTGACGATTGGGATCAAACCTATTTCGCGCTGGTTTGCGCAGTTGTTGCGAGATCCCTTCTTGAAAATTGGAACGATCAGTGATTCGCTCCAGGATGATGGAATGCGCTCGTGTGACCAGATGTTACGCATTATATCAGTAATGGGGTCTACGATGTCATCGTCCCCCATCTTGAAAAGAGTGGGAGGAAGCCCGTCGGGTCCTACTGCTTTTCCTTTCTTCAGGGCTTGAATGCAAGAACGAACCTTTGCTGCAGTAGGAGGTTCAGATGACACTGCCCACGGAGCCTCAGCTACATCAGAGGAGATAGCTTGGTTAGCGCCTGGCCAGCTGAACTGTTCGTTGAAGTACTCCGCCCACCGGTCAAGCCGTTGTTCCTTATTGTGAATAGCTTGCCCACTTTTATCGCAGATTGTTTCACTAACTGTGGTTGGCCGACCTCTCGTATTGCGTATCAGTTAGAACAGTCTTTGACTGTTCCCTGATGCAACTGCGATTTCCATTTCACTAGTTATTGTTGCCCATCAGTTTTCACGATCTTTCTTGAGACTTTTCTTGAGTTGACGTTGCAGACGCCACCTAACCCTGCCTTAATCCCGGGCGGTGGGGATTTGCCGCTTTTTCTACATCAGTACTGTCGAATCATCAGATATCCAATGTTTCGGTTTAGCTACCGCTTCAGATCCACAAACAACCTTCGCTGCAGAATGCACTGCTCGGCTAATCCGATCCCATTGTTCATCTACACTACCACCCCGCCGAGCATTTAGCTCTTGTCCTAGTTCTGACTCAGAACGAGCGCGAACGGTTGGGTCAGATAAACGATGATCTGCCAACTGTGTTTTTTTGTGTGTGACCAGTGAGTTGGAGAGTGAACTGCATCAACACTAATGCATGATCATATTCAATGCAGGTAGTCCAATAAGACCTGCAGTTTTATACTGAGCCACGCCAACGGTAGCTTACTGCTATGTGGTCGATTTGAGTTAGCATGCTAGTTGAATTTCAGCGCCACGTTGCTGTCCGTTGAGAGCTACGTCGGAAGTTAATGCTGGTTAGGAACAGATGATGATTTGCGCAGAACTGAAGAAGTCGATCGCCACTACCTGTTTACTGGCAGGGCAGAGCACAATGACCGCCTAGACAAGCTTCCGATGCGCCCAGTTTTCCAACTTGGGCATTAAAATCGCCTGCGAGCAGAACTATATCAAAGCGTTGGCTCAACCGAATGAGTTCTGTGAGTTTATCATAAGTCTTCCTTTTGTGCGTCAGAACTGCAGTTGGTTGAAGCATACGCTGAAATGATGAACGAACACCTTTTGGGTGTTGCTTCCTTTCCGGACGCCGATGGACTCTTGGAGTCGCATCGCACATAAGCGACTGTTGACGGGGATCCAATCGAGTAGTGCAGTTTCAGCTGTATTGTTGAGTACAATGCCCAAACCACGCTGGCCTACTGAACGGGCTTGGTCCTCACCTGACGTGCGGAAGGAGTACGTCGAGGACAACTCCGATGCACTTAAGCGGTTTATAGCACTAGGATCCGGGATTCGCGTCTCCGCTACGCAACATACATCAATCCCAAAAGAGCCCATTGTACGCGCCAGACACGCTCGTTGGCCTACCTGGATCATGGTCCTCACGTTGAAGGCCCCAAATTTAGTGGCTGACGAGGCTTCGGAATCTGCAATCTATTTTGTGGTAAACTACTTACCGGGCTACTTGGTGACGAACTTTGGTGAGTGACGAACAAGTTGTCTGAGCGAACGTTATGGGTTGGAAGAAGGGGTAAAGAAAAAAGGTTTTGTACGGAATAAGAAAAGTTGAACAGAGGTTGGGATATCTGAGCAGTAGCCCACTTATCACTACCCACCCCGCTCAATGCAATGGGCAGCGCGGTCCTGATTATCCTGCGCGACGACGGATGCAGTGTTGAGTTTATTTTTTTATTTGGTAATGCTCAAGTGGTACGTTAAATTGAAAGGTTTACAAATGCCGTTTAGTTACGTGATATCGGTCATTTCCTTCAACCCTTAGTTGGATGTCACCCTCTGAGCGCGAACTACACAGCCTGACGCGAAGTGGACCCAATCAGTTTGTCAAGCTTTCCACTCTATCGCGGAATCTGTTCGCGGTTTGATCGTTGTCACTCTCCTCCAGGATTCTTTGTAGGCAACTCTGTTGTTTCGGGTTTAAAGCGGCACCTATCCTGTTAGGGCTTGTGTATATTTCGCCACATCACTTTCCACGTTTACCTCTTTTTCCGATCATCACACTAAGATGAAAAAATAAAAAAGTGTATATATCACTTGTCTCTAGCATGTCATTCTTGTTTAGTTCCCTTACTGAGCCTAATTTTTCTTTGTTATGTGTCAGGCGAATCTTGACTATCAGCACCCACGTTTTGCCACTAATCAAAGCTCAGATTCGCCTCACTATTGAAGGCCGCATCCAATAATGAATTTTTGAATTTTCTTCCTGCTTCTAACTGCTCGGTTTGATTCAATAAACGATAACAAGCATGATTAGCGTCGCTTCTCTAACATTCTATTCGCAACCTCTGGCTCATCGCAAAATTCACAACTCGTAGTATCTCTATTCTTACTATTTTTTCTGGTCATCTGTGGTTATCTTATCTGTTTCTATCAGTCTCACGTTTTCGCCCTACTCGGGATCCCAGTCTGTTAGCCACACTGAGGCTAGGCTACGCTCTTTTGTGTTTTGTCGGGTTGCTTAAGTCACTATCTGAATTTCTGTTCGGCCCATAGGAGGAGCTCGCACATTTGTATATCGCTCTTGGAGGTTTCGAAGATGCGTTGTACGAATATTACGAAGTCGAGACATTCTTCTCCGATTGTGCGGGCGCGGAAAAGCTAAATGGTAAGTCTCGGTTTTCCGACGTTGCTCTTTCGTCAATCATGTAAAAAGTAATTTTCGGCTTACCAAATGCCCATCCACCGTCCTCCTAAATGACTCTTGTATAGCCTCTGTCCATGAAACCTATTGAACTATTACTTGCAAAGGGGTTTTCACCGACCAATTGAAGCAATGTGGATTGAAAATGGCTTTCCCTGTGGTCTAAATAAACACAGTATAAGAGGAATTGCAGAAGGGAACCATGCCTAATAGACCTAATCTGGTGATCCCTGTTTTGACGAGATGGCAGTTTGAGGTAAGAGAATAAAAGTAATCGGGTGAAAGGGATTTCTGTGTTTTATCATTTCCGACGGGAGGGGGTCCAAATGCTATACCGGGTTTCACGTCACTTTTAACATTTTACACACTCACTTACAGTTGTATTTGGGGCTTGTTGCCTGCAGTTTGAGCCACTTTCTACTAATGCAAATGTTAGCTGATTTCGGAGCAATTGTTCGTTCTGTTCCTCCCCTTCAAATGTATCTTCATATCTGTGCCCGATTTCACTTCCCCTGTACCAAAATTAGTCTCGTTAATTAATGGAAGTAGTTGTTACTGTATCGTGACTGTTATTTAATTTGTCATCAATATATTTCAGATTATAACAACGCAATTGATACCTTATTTCAACCGTTTTTCGTCTATTGTCAATCGGCTGCATACCGCATTGGCAATCACGGTAGAATAACACGAAAGACCGATGAGTGAACGTCAGGTTAATCCACATGTCAGTTGTGCCCTTCATAAAACAAGGTATGTCAAAAGGAGATCAAAAACTAACTGCGGCGAGTGAATATCCAACAGGAGCTTCAACCAACCAGGATGGAGCAAGATTGTAGACAGAATCTGAGTGTTGATATGGATTGGGTTAAGGTAGAAAATAATTGTGTTGCGTTTTCTGCTTCTAATCCTCAAGGTCCTTTCTATCGTATTTACTCATAGCATTCAAGAAGTCTGCGCGCAGTACAACTTAATTTTCTTACGGTAGCAAATTGACTTTTTTGGGTTTGGGATGGGAATGGGGGTGGGGTGGAGTAAAATCAGCACTGACATCAACCTTCAAGTAAGTGAACTATACCAAAATCATTCTCATACACACAAACTCCAGGCAGTTCCGTACCCCACATTCAGTGATCTTTATCCACGTATTTCAGTGTTTCCTCTCATTCCTTCGTTATTGACTTTTGATATTACCGTTCCCCGGACTTCGGACGTGAATTTTTAAAGCTCTACACCATTAGAATTTATAAAACTGTCTTCCTCATTATTTTGCTCAGATATTACCTTCGAAGAAAAAGTTAGTGACTGAACTGCAGTCCATTTGTGACGGATAAATTTCCTTTCCTCTGTTGTTTCTTTTCTGCAGCATTTGTTTCCATTTTCCCAACTTATCACACACACACACACACACACACACACACACACACACTGTATGATGGTGTTGAGTCCGCTTTTGGCGGACACTTATACAAATGCTTATACAAATCATGTAACTGCCCAAATAAATGCACACCAGAGGACGGTAAATGCAAATTCGGCTTATTCCAACTCGATTCGATTGCGGAGCGCCTGGTTTGTATAAAGTAATTGCCGAAGCATCATTTTTTCTGGAGTTTTTGCGTGTAGTCGTATTCACCTGTCGTTTTTATCTCCTTGCGATGGAATTTTAAGATAAGTCTTTCACGGGACAATAGAGACTTTATCCTTTTTTCTTGCTATACTTAAATTTTTTCTACTTTGAAGTTATCCAGGAGACCATCGATTGCATTGCTATCTCCCTCGATTATCACTTGTGTCAATAGGTCTTGGTGTAGCGTCTCTTCATAAAACATCTGTGTGAGTCAATGCTCGTCTCGTGCAATCCATGAACGCAGACTCTTCTATGTTGAATATATGATTATCATATTGCCTTCCCCTGCAATGTACGTGCCGCTCGTTTCGGATAGAAAATAAATCAATTTGGACTACCTATCGACTTAACTTGTCAAAGAAACGGGAATGCGTGTCAGACTGTATAACCTGTATGGCGCAGGCATTCTTTAAGCACAAAACTGGGACATTCGTGAACAAATACATGAGTATCCTGGGCATTTGCAAGATGTTGGTGCTTGTCGTTATCGGTTAGTTATCTACCATGATACTTTCTGGACCATCCTTTCTTTTTATTACACACTTTCGTGTGATGAACAGCAGATGGGGTGGAACCCCATAATCACGAGGACCTGCTGTTCAGTGATGGAAACCGGTAACCTAAGCCCCGGGACTTGGAATGGTAAACCACATAAGGCCCCGATAGGTTGGGTGTGGTATTGAACCGGACGACAGCAGAGCTGCCTACCGCCAAAGTCGGGTGGCAGTGGCGGGGCTTGAACCTCGAACAATGGGGTCTAACGCACGCCGGTGACAGCGACTAAACCACTGCGCCACCACCACCCACCCACACCTAAGTTTATTCCATCATCCCTCTCGATCTCGAGCGGCCTGCGAATCGACGAGGGAAAATTACTAGATTAGATATAGTACATATTGTTTGAGAGGAAATTGATTACGAGTGGTATTACCACTACAGTCTTATCCGAGAAAGGTAGATTGTTACACCTTGTTTCAATTTTCCCCTATACAGATGTATGTAGTTGCTTTTCAATTTTGATTGTTGCATGTCCGCTTCTCTGTATGCATAGTTTCTGCAATCCTCCTCCCTCACCTGAATAGTGTTCGATTAGGTGAAACTTTATTTCAAACTTCTTATCGAAGTTGCTCCGTATGCACTNTGCACTATCGTGCTCGTTTTCAGCTATTGTTTGGTTCCACTCAGTCGCCGGAATCATCGTTTGTGTGATTTTGTAGTCTTTTTTTTGAGTGCTGTTTTACATCGCCCGATCAGGGAACCAATATGGAGAATAATTCACGGAAAATTTGCAATGTTATCAAACAAATAAATAGCTTAACCGAAATCGATAGATATCCTAACACCCTCGCATGATATCCAGTCCCTTTCTCTAATACCTCCCAGCACAATTTAGACTCGAACCAAGAAGCCTGAGCAAAGTTACCCTCCTCATTCAATTGCATTTTTCTGTCCTCTCTTTTTTGTGTGCACGATCATATTGCCTGCACCTTTTGGCCTCAATTGATAATTGCGTTACACTACCCTGAACGGTTTATACATCCTCAGGTTAAATACTAAGCATAGTTTTAGTTCAGTTTTTAACCATTAACCATGCACTTTCGTGCTCCGGTTTTGGTTGCTGTCTTTTAGTCGCCCATTTGGATAAAAGAACAGAGTGAAGATTGGAATGTTAAAAGCAAGTTGAAGCGGAAGATGGAGAATTCGTATACGGCGGTGTTAGGAGAATAATGAGTGTATGCACGAGCGCCACTGTTTGCGACACCTAGCCCTATCAATCAGTGTCTCTAATCCTCGGTGACAGTCATCTCGGGGCCCCCAGCCAAGGAGCCTGACGGGACATGTGTGGCCTATTCTTCTGATTAGGGTTTTCATACCCTCATGCCATGTCTTCGTTTCACCACCCTTGACCTTTTTCCAACCGTTACCTGCCTGGGCAAACATCGCCCGCCGTGGAAACCCATTTGGAAACATGCGTAACACATGCCCCAACCAACGTAATCTATGGAGGTCGATCATTTGCTCCAGTGAACGACCGCGACTGCCTAAAACTCTACGTCTAACCTCACCATTACTCGTTCAGTCACCCCACCAGACTCGTGCAATGCTACGTAGACAGTGATGTTTGAACACCGACAATCTTTTTTTATCCTGTTCCCTTAGTGTCCGAGTCTCTGATGAGTTTTCTTGCTTCGTTTCAATCGGATTTGATGGTTGGCATAAAGGGATAGTTGACAGAATGCCTAACGATGATACTCCGCTAAAGAGTAGTAATTAACTTTGTTTAACCTGAATAGATAGATTAAATCCAAACTCATCCATTGACTACAAGAAGGTTCATTTTTGCACCGTTATTCCTGAAATGGCCTAACATACACAGCCTTTAGCTTAATTGCTCGACTGCGTCGTATAGCTTCTCATTGTGACTGCATCATCTCCCATCCTGGTCGCATCTTATCATTGCCTAGTTGTATCTTCTCGATCCTTATACTCCATTGAGCGAGACTGAAGATGACAAGAATTATCCAATTAGATAGGCTCGTGCAGTTCCCATTTATACAACCATTAACCCAGCACTTTCGTGCACCGGTTTTGGTTACCCATTTTGAATAACCTTGATTCAAGAAAGGAAAGTTGAAAGTAAAACCGAAGAGAAAATGTTGAACTTCATACTCAGGTTGCAAGAAATATAGAAGATGCACAAAAGCCATTGTTTGCGACGCAGACATGCAAATCAGTGTCTCTAACCACTGGTTACAATCATCGCCAAGTCCCCATCCACGGAGCCCAACGCAACCTATATAACCATTTCTCTTGGTTAGTGTTTTCGTTCCCGCATTTCAGGTCTTATTTTGATCACCCTTATCTTTTTTCCACCCACTTTCTCCCTCGGCAAACATGGTGCGCTGTGGCAACCTATTTGGCGACATTCGTAACACGTGCCCCAACCAATGTAATCTATGGAGATCAACTACTTGCTCCTGTGGGCGCCCGCGATTATGTAAAACTCTGCGCCTAACCTCACCATTGCTCGTCCGGTTTGTACCACCAGACTGATGTAGTGCTACGTAATGACTAGGTTTCCGCACGGTGTAGCAGATGTAACCGAACAGCTGCAGCATACACTCGACTTTTCACAGACAGCTGGATGTTGCGGCGGCGCCACAGATATCTGCAGTTGGTTAATGTGAATCCTGCTTTCTGTATGCGAGTTGACACCTCATGCGTGATGAGTCCACTGAGTGAAACATAGCTGCCCAAAGAACAATGCTTCTCCACTTGGTCTGTTACTTCCCCAGTAAGTGTGAGGCTGGATGCTGAAGCAACCCAATCTTATAGTAACATTTTACACTTTTAAGGTGCAAAACGCATGCCAAACATGGCTACGCTGGCACTCAAGCTACCCAGTAAAACTTACAACTCATCTGGATCTTCACTTAGCAGTACGGTGTCAGCCGTTTATTCCTTATCAGATGCCCCCGAGTTTAGTGATCAGCTAATCGATTCACAGGGACACACCCCTGTTTCTGACCCGATCGACCGAAACTGATTATCACCGGGATTGTTCATTCACGTATGAAACTCACTCCATTGACAATCATGGGCATAACATTCCCAGAAGGGGACAAACCCGCATACCGCAACCCACCAGAACCTTCGTCTTGGCACCACGACTCATTCGAAAAGTTCTTTCGTTCGTGCCCTGATTGATGAAGCTGATCATTTTGCGCGTTCCCGGTCTATTCTCTTTTATTCATTTTTGTAATCCGTTCTCAATGTGTGTTTAACTGAGGCCGCATCAGGCTATTTCCAGTCGTATTTATTATCACTGATCGACGGACCCTACAGGCGTGTAGTTGCAGAATCTCTGATATGTGCGTATTGCATGTCATAAACTGAACTTCCGCAATTACCGGATCGCGTGGTCTCCTGTTGCGCTCGAGAGATTCAACGCTCACAATGTCACACACGCCTGGCTCATTGTCTGATTGTGTTGCATGGCAGATGTTATTCAATACGAGTTTTCTCCATTCCAGTGGTGCGGTACTTCGCGTCGTATTTTAACGCACTAATCTGCCTGTCAAACCGTTGCCACCCTAGCTTTCAACCGAAAGCGGCGGTACTCTTCCTCGATAAGGAACGGTTGCAGAAACACCTCGATATGATTACCGTGTGAAAAGAATCATAGCTTACATCTCTTTTGGAAATCATCTTACGAAACAGGTGTCATGAGGTGTATGTTTGTATGTGCGTATTTTGTGAACGCACGCACGCGATTAATCTTTTTTAGTATCCATTGTGCCAAATGGAAGATTGGGTTCGCCTGACGATACAAAATAGCAAATACCAATAGAACAACCATCACTACGTCATCAACAGACTGACAAAAGAAAGAAATCATGTGTCAAGCTTCTTCACAATCAACAAATCCACACACTCGTTATCGGCACTGTCCTGTTGGGTAAACTCCATGCACAGTTATCCCGTGTTTCTTGTTAAATTCACATAATATGCATAATAAATAGCACTAAGAAAATCTGTCAAACCTTGTACTCTCTGCACGCAAACAAACCACCTGGTCTGGACGGTATTCCACGTATCGTCCTCAAAGTGTGTGCTCACGAAGTGACTCCGTCGTCTTTCCCTCTATCTTTATTGGTTTCCAACCCCTTGGAAACAGACCGTGATTTTTCCCATTCCCAAACGCGGCGACCTTTCTGACCTCAATAGTTACTAACCCAATTCCCTCACTTCGGTTCTTTCGAAAATATTTGAAGCTATCATTTCGGACCAATTACACTTGTTCGTCGAAAGTGAAGGACTACCAAGCGACTCCCAGTATGGTTTCCGACAGCGTCGTTCCACCGGTGACTTGCTGGATCTTGTCTCACAACCCTGGTCAGCTGCAGTCGATAACCACAGAGAAGCACACCTGGTCTCGCTCGACATCTCAAAGGTCTCCGGCCGAGTTTGCTTCGAGGCTCTACTGACGAAACTACCCATATTCGGGTTCCCTCTGGAGCTCGTAGTGTGGATTTCAATTTTCCTCAGTAAGCGAAAGATCTCCGTCCGAGTTGATGGGGCTCTGTCTCAACCGTTCCCTGTGAATGCTGGTGTTCTCCAAGGTTCAATACTTGCACTCACCCTCTTCTATTTATGAATGATCTCCTTTCCATAACTGTCAACCCGATTCATTCTGTTGCCGATGACGCCACCCTCTACTGCTCCCTCTCCTACCGCACTACTTATCATGCTCAAACCAACGTCGGTCGCGACCGTAGTGCAGTTAATGTGTCACTGAACTCCCTTCTCGAACACGTCCCCTAAAACATTGCAAACCACGTTTAATTTAATCTTTCTAAAACCTCTGTTCTTTTAATTTCAGTAAAACACCATTCACTCTATCCTAATTTATCTTTGGTTTCACCCAGCTGCGTTTCACAGACTCTGTTTCCCTTCTGGAATTGCCTATAACTCCTTTAGCTCGATCCCTTTTTATAGCTTGACTTCTTTCTCATGCTACGCGCAAAGTTTTTTTAATTTCGCGCCAGACGGTTTTTACACCCCAGTTTATCCCCGACTTTACACAGTTCAAATCCGCCCTGCTCTTGAATACTATAGTCTCGTGTAGGGTGGGGCTTCGTCTTCTTCTCTGTTCCTTCCTAATTGTGTTCAACGATAGACCATCCGGCTAATCGATGATCCTTCCCTAACATTTAGTCTGCGGCTACTATCCCATCATTGGGCAGTTGCTTCATTATCCCCGCTCTGCTGTTACTACTTTAGTTTTTGCTCCTCGGAACTTGCCTTCTTGCAAATTTTACCCGCTCATCCCGTACACAGTCATCTAGTCAGCCTTATCAGATTTCAGTTGCCAGTGTCGTATCTCTCTGCTGCAGTCCTATTTTTCCCCCGAACTGCCAAGTTGTGGAACAGCCTCTCACTTTCTGTTTCTTCCAAACTTAACCGCACGCTCTTTAAAATGGATCTTACGTGAATATTCCCATACTCTCCCTTTTAGATTATGCTGTTTGTTTATGGGGATTTTCCCTTTTATGGTAGCTCACATTATGTGTGATAAAAAATAAATGAATAATAAATTATATATATATATATATTGCATTAAGTAGCATATGAATGACTGAACGAAATTCCCCTGGAAGCACACGACCGGTTCTACGTTTCTGGCCGCTCTTCAGGAATGCGTCCCCGGTAGAATTTTGTCTTTTCATTCATATACGTGTATCCAGGATGTGTATTTTATTCACAATAAGCTCATTTGCAAATCCGGGTTAATTTTTTTGGACAGCCCTTTCAGCACCGGTCCACTGATGAATCAATACTGTGATTCGATGGGTTAAATGCAACTAACCGCAACAAACGCAACTTAAGCGGCTTTATGCAATATTTTAAAATAATTAGTGGTAGCATGAGATCCGACTGCTTTTATCCCGTTCCTCAAACGTTGTTCCCGTGACGTTGATTAAGAGGGCTTTTGACGAGAGTGAACGAACCTGACAGTGATTGACTTTGATCAGTCGGATGAGAAAACGAGTCACGTTAGTTGCACGAGCATTTGGGCAACTTGTGCTTGATCTTGAGTCATCGTACTCGAGAAGAGGAAATGTTTCAGCACCGCAATCTCACAAGTCATTTAGTTGGCTGTTGTAGAGGCTTTCATACGCGTGTTTGTGTGTACCAACCGCAACATTCGGTCACAATGAACGGTTGTGATCTTCATCCTCGGTTCTAATGCAACCATTGTTTTGTTCTGTAACCATCAATCCTATATTGCGTTTTTAATTGTGTCAATGGCGCTCAATCAGTAGTTTCCAGAATACCTCATCACTGTCTGTGTTGTAGTTAGGCCATAGCTGCGTACGCTTGCTCAGATCGGTGTGTCCATGTGTTTTTGCATCAGTTCAGGATTCAAGCTCCACTGCACTTTATGCTAATGATTGGTGATTTTCAACCATTGATTGCATCTACAACAATGAAACCGAGAGTTCGACCGGAAATGACCATTTTGGGATCCGAGAGATACTGATTCACAGACACTACCTGCGTTGATGGGCAAAGTTGACAAGATAATAATCAACGGAACTCGGATAAAAAGAAAGGACCAGCACTATTTCTTCTGGATAGCAACATTAACTTTGAACTCCTTTATTGGCCACGGGAAATAAAATATTTCCAAGCTAACTACTGCATTTATCTATAAAACCGATATTAACCACGGCCCCCATCGGTTCTCCTTTGGTTGCTCAGCTTCTTCGCATGGTTTCGTCTCCTTTTTGTATCATGTCCTATCTTTGACACATCTTTTCACAGCTGAGTTATACTGGCTCTTCATTTAATAGCGCCATTCACTGCAAACAGTACTGTGATTCCCGACGGAAGGGCACCGTGAAAAACCCTATATAAAGTTACTGTAATTTGTATATCTATATCTGACTGGATCATTCTTGTCACCTTCAGTCTCGCTCATTGAATTATAATGATCGAGTAAATATAGGTCGACAGTGATCAGATGCGCCGTGTATATTCCGATGGTTGCAAGTAGTTTGCTCTTGAACTGACCCTCTCTCTTCCTTTCCCGTTTAAACGACGCGACCTTTCACGTGACGCTTAACTCTTTGAGCTGCGCATTTCGCTCTAATAACTGCGTATAAATAATGTATTGGGGTGCCTCCTTGTGGGTAGGTAATAACCGTTCCTTTGAACTTGTCTATTTTAATTTCTCACAAACCGTTCACTTCAATGACTAACAATATCGTCATCGGAAGTGCACTGTCATATTTTGGTCCGCTGATTTTGAATAGGCCACTGGATTTCTCGCAATGGCTATTTTGTTCTTCGTTCTTCTCAGTGACCCTTGTATAAGCATTATTCATTTCATTATCATTCTTTTTTGGCATTGTAATTGTGATATGATTCAGCTAACATTTTTGCGACGTTCGTTACTGGGACCTTTCTTTTGACACCGAATCGATGGAAACATCGGATTGATGTAATGAATCAAACGTAGATTACACTATTCCGTTGAAGTGTCGGAGTTGGATAGCTCAAGTCAGTCTTCGACTATCTGGCGGGACTACCGGGTAGCACAACAAGCCACAACAGTGTAACAAACCATAAAGTAAACCCACTACTCAGTTTTTGTTAGTCTCAAATTCTATTGTGGATTATGTTTGTTTCACAATAGTGTAATAGAAACTGAATTGCATTCTTCTACCCTCTCCCTCGGTGTGCATATCTTGTTCTATTTAGATGAAGCTCGTCCGCCGTGGGTACGACAATTGATCGAAGTGTCCTCCGGGACCACTCTGGCGGTGCCATCATTTCTCTCTTGTTTTCCCGTCGTACCCTCCGTTGCCGATTCAGACCAGTCCGAACGGATTCGTGAACGTCAAGGCACTCTGTTTGACATTCGCTCGTATTTACTGTACAAACAATTGCAGTTGCTCTTCTTGTTGAATAAGTTGCACAAAGTTCCATCCCGTGTGTTTTCGTGCATCAGTACCACGTTGGAGCAGTCTCGTGCGATGAAAGTGAGTGTGTCCGTTCTGTTACCGCCCCATCCTGTCATGATCTATGTTGATCTGACTTATCTACTATGATACTTATAGAATTCCCCATTCCTTTCGCCATCGATCTTTCCCTGTCAAAGTCACATGAGAACGCTATCGCTTCCGTGATGCTTTTGTGCTCACATGCCTAAAATTTGGATTCGTTTGCAGACCAGCACACACCTCCCTTAAAAATACGAGGAACCGGTGTGCCGTCTCACATGATCTCTTAAATGTGAAGAAATTGAATCATTATTATCAGGTGATATATTTGCACCCGATAAGCTCCCTTTCTTTCAGCGCTTCGCTGTTCAAAACAAATTTGACGTTGCACTGATAGAGATATCGTCGCCTCGCCATAATCAACATTGGACTGACGATGTATTTGTCTTAATTCTGAATGATTTGAAAGGATAGGTGCTTGTGGCTCTTTTGATTTACATGGGTTTATATCTGGTGGTTTGACTACTTATCAACCTCCAGGAGGAATCAACCGCCCAACTTCCGACATCTACACAGAGTTGCATTCCTCCTCACCGGTAGCTGTACTGTTGGATCAGAAATCAAATAGTTGAGTCAAAATGTCATTCAACATTCGTGGATGGTTTAGCAGTTCCGAGTCTTCAATCCACCGTCTCGATTTGAACGGACTATCCTTCAAACTCCGTCTTCATGCACAATTGTGGGTTCATCCACTCACCCCTACATATATATATATATATATATATATATGTGCGTATGTGTTAGAGGTTTACGTAGTTTAGCGCGAGTAAGATCGAATCACTGGGTTGGAAACACTAAGAGAAGTCACCGTGTATGTGGAAGTGAATTGGTGGAAAAATTGTTTTAACACAGGATTCAGATTTGCAAGCTTCGTTGGTTAAGTTCGCAGTCTCCCGTCTTGCAGGTTTGGGTCCAAAAGGCTCACTGGTTCGTTGGAAACACTGAATGTCACGGGCAGTGCAACGACAACGGTGGTGTTCTTGCTTTCGTTTCCTGTAATTTTAGAATGTAAGTGCATAGTTTGCTTGTGCACTCTGTTTCTCCACCATACTTGTTCATCGCAATTTCCCATCTCTCCATCAAAACAAACTCAGTCCTTAACCAGCTCACACATTCGTACTATGCATGCAGCTTGAGCTTAGCAGCGGTTTACGAAGTTCGCTTCAATGCATTTCTCTGTAAGATGATGAATGCATTCAGGAACCGTTCGTATTTGTCTTAACCGGATTCAAATGGTCTGTGCTCCATACACTCGCAGGTTTGTGAGGAACCCGTTTTCGAATCCTGTTGGGCCTTCCTTGTCGCTGTTCATTGTCTGGGTTTGTTAAACCGTCGAAGCGGCGCTAACCCCGCTCGGGAAGATATGAGTTCAATCAACTTGATTCTGTTCGCTGCATTCGGGCCTAATTCCACCCTGAGACCGGACGATATACAGACAAACCAACCGGATTTGGCCTATCAACCATATAACAATGTGTTCCTCCGCCGTTCTTCTCCCGTGGATAACCCTGTAGCTGAACCGCTGGCTTTGCTGGCAGACGTGATCTATTCATACATCACATCGAAGACAAACAGTTCCAAGACCAAGGGCAAGACTGCCGACCCCTCGGCTCGACCACCACCACCAGCAGTCTGTAACGCTCTGGTCGATTTGTGGCTGGTTGCGTTTGTTCATCTGACCCGGTTAGGCTATCTGCTCGAGTTGTGGCACGGCAATCCGGTACACAGCGCACATGCTGGTGCGCTTCGTGCCCTCGAGTCAGCGATTCACGCCTGCGCGATCTCCACTCGGACCAATCTGACCACTTTCGGTATGTCCGTTCACAAACACATGTATGTTCTGTTGTCCTCGCATAAGATGTTCGCGGACATTTATGTGGCAATGGGACAGACGCTGACCGGGTTCTTCAAGCTAACTCGTCGATCATCGAAAGCAATCTACGCTTCCAGCATGCTAGCCAATTTTCTCCAGTGAGTTAATATTTATTTGCCAAATGTTCTTTGCTGGAGTTCCATGTTTTTCTCCCAACCCAGTAGTTCGTCCGAGCCAGAGCCTTCATAATATGGTGAGATACAGCCCACCTGTCGCACTGAGTCGAATACGAATACCTGCAATGCTAACATGATAATATCTCCCTTGTTTGATGCTAATCCTTGCACCCGGTGTGTGTTTACAAATAATTGCATCCAGCTGGAAATTTTCACATGTGCAGGTTACTGTATATAGGCAACATTTTGGATTCATTGATCTAGGGAACGGGCCATTCCAAGTATGATATTACTGGAAGTACTGGAAGTACCTCGACAAAATTAGTTTACAGACGGTTGTGTTTCTGTGATCCCGTTATCTGTTTGACGTTAGCATGATGTTGTGCACTTTATTTTTGTCAACGTTATACGTTAAGTATCTTTTTAACAGTTGGTTACAAGCTTTAATGCTCACACGGATTTAAATTAGTACTATTCTTAATGCTGAAAGAAACTGTCTCTTATCCATAATCTTCCAAAATGCCTGGGTATAATCTCTCCAGTATTCTGACTGGCAATACTAGTGCGTTNACAGCAAATCCGGTATAATTGCTTTGCTTTAATAGGATTGGTTCACTGGTGATAAGCCAACTTCATAGGAATCAAGTTTCATACGAGTTTAGTTTAAGAGACGCCCCCGGCGCTATCCTTCAATATTGTATTCATTGCAACCGATTCATTTGTTCTTTTTTTCAGGACACTAGATGCGAAACAACAAGCTTGTGTATTGTACACGCATGCTCTGACCACTTATGTGAGTGACGGTTGGCCCGAATTAGCCACGCACACTTGTCTCCGTTTGGCATGTTGTTTACGCACATTATTGGACGATATGAATAGAAGAAAACTGTGCTCTGACTCAGCCTTAATGAGGTGAGCGTATGTGTACAAGTTTGTGTTTGATTCTCTTCCTCCCACTGCTGCTTTCCTCAACCTAATGATTGTGCAATGCTCGCGTTTGTGATATTCCAATGTGTAGTAATGTGTGTAATGCGGCCAGACCTCGTTTTTTTGTAGTCTGTCCTACTAGTTTGTCAATGACTAGTTAGTAATTGCAAACCACTGACTACCCAGGGTTCATGTTGTCCAATAACAGAAAAACATGTGTGTTAATGCTCGTTTCGCCTGGTGGTTATTATTAAAAAAGCAATTGGAATTGTTGACATCAAGATGATTCATTGCAATCGTGCTAATTTCCCCGGAAGTGCTGAAGTGTAAATGAGCTATTGCTCATCTTAACCGAATTTGTTCTCTGTGCTTCTTCTAATCTCAGAATACGTACCGCGTAAGTTGTATTTGTCTGGGGGGAACGATAGCTATGCGCTGGTAATCAATCGGGAGTAGACGGTCTGAACATTCTCATGCATTGTGTCTATCTGTTCTTCATGTCTAACCTGTGTCGCTGGTTTACTCGTTAGTACTGATAGTGAAATAGTGCAGGCATGTTGTCTAAAGATTTTGTGTTGATTAGACGCTCTTTGAAAAGCGTCTCTAATACGAAACTGCCTCTTTACAGCATGTTGCCGTAGGTGCGACTCATTCCTGTCTAATGTGTCAAACCCCTTACGTCCGGCCTCTTTTCGCTTCATCTCCACCTCTGCCATTAAACCTTAATGCATTCACACCACAGCCTTTCACATTTCTGCGGTACCTTATTTCTCTCTCTCTCTCGACTATTCGTTTACAGAGGACGACTATCAAATAAACTGAAATGCAACCTCATGTAGTCCATGTTACGGTTTCCATTCCCGTCACGGATTCTCTTTGTTCATCATTGTTGTCTTTCAACAGAGTATCACATCACCAAGGTGCTCATATCTCAATGTACACCAATGTACACCTAAGCTTACGTGATATCGCTTATTTCGATGAACATTTGGTCGACAATGGATGAATAAACTACGTTCTTCACTTTATGTTTTGCCTATCCTTACAAGTGATTTGAAAGAAATTTAGTGTTGCTCACATTGAAATGCTTTTTAAATTTTCTTGGATTCTCTCCAATAACATTTAAAAAAGAGCATTTGGGGGCTGATCGGAAGTACATATTGAATTCTGTTCTGATATTTAGATAACTGTCAGTGAGTTCTTGTGGCCCGAGGGCGACAAATGGACACGAGA